GGTTTTTTGAGATAAGGCCTCACTATGTAGTTGAGACTGACCTGGAACTCACTATGTAGCCCAGGCTGATCTCGAATTTACAGCGATCCTCCTGCCTCAGCCTCCCTAGTGCTGGGATTACAGGCATTCGCCACCATGCCCAGCAAGCCCACGTTATTGAGTGGCACCACTCAGCATTCATTTGGCTCTTAGTTGTTCCAGGCAGTTTCCCAATATATTAATTCGCTGATGCCTCATAATCGTCCTAGGAATGAGGGTTTCACAGATATGAAAGCTGAAGTACAGGAAAGCACTATGTTTCCTCAAGTCACACGAGAGTTGTTTCAGCCCATCTCCCCACCCCACACCTTTCTCTGGGTCCAGTGTTAGTCTGTCCAGGAGGTACGAGGGTGGACAGAGGAGATGGGCTTCGAACTTGCATGGCAGTTTTCTGTCATGTGTGCTGTGTGGCCGTAGCATTATCCAGAATGTGCCCAGATTACTTTTACTTCTTAAAATACTATAAAAATAAATCTTCTAATTTCCATAGAGTACTCACGGAATCCCAAGAATGTGTCCATGGGAGTTTGCAGAACCCAGTGTAAGGAGAATGAAGACTGATTAAACAGTTGAAAATAGCATTTAGGAAAGCTGAAACCCTGGGAAAAGTGATTATTTAGCAGAGGTTTTGTAGCAAGGGCTCACGCTTTAGCTGGAAGGTTGTATACTAAATGATCACTAAAATAGTTCTAATTCTGGGAAACTATGATTTTATAAAATTCTGAATCAGGAGCGTTTTGCCAGGAGGAGGAAGGGAGGCAGTGAGATCAGTGGAGGAAGACTGCCTGCCGTGAGTAGCCAGCCGGGGCCTTGGGGAGCCAGGCAGGGCAAGGCTCAGACCCCCAGGAGGAGGCTCCATGGGGCAGCTGTGCCTGCACTGGACAAGGAGCCTGGCCAGCTGGGAGCACAGATAGAAGTGGGTGTAGGCTGCACACTTACAGGGCTTTAACCAACTGACATATATAACAAGGGCACGATTGTACTACAGAAAACTCTGAAACACTATAACAGCTACTAGACTAAGAAGGGTTTTGTTTTGTTTTTCTTCACATTCAAAGATTAATTTTTATTTTTAAACTGATAGTTCTATTATATAATACATATTTTTTTTCTTCATTGAGTTTATTGGTACATTTTAGGTATACAGTACAGTTACATTCATTATTGGGATCTTGTACCTTTACATGTCAGGTCTTGGTTCTCATTTTTTCCCCTTGTCCCTGCCCTTCCTTCGCCCCCTGCTCCCCTCCCCATTTACAAACATTTTAGACTAAGAAAGGTTTTAACGAGACTTCAGGAAACAATGGCAATATGCAAACCTCAGCTGTAATGCTGTACACTAGCAACAGAGAATCAAGAAATAGCATTTCAAAAATATCATTTGTAACATAATCAAAGATCAGCTACTTAGAAATAGATTTATGAAAATGTGTATGATTTATACAGTAAAAATTGGAATACATTACTGAGATTGAAGACATACTGAAGGGAAAATACATCATAAATTTGAAGACTATTATTGTCAAAATGTCCATTCTCTCCAAGTTTAAGCATAGATTTATTGCAATTTCAATTGAAATCCCAGCAGGTTTTTGGAAAATTGCTAATCTGATCCTAGAATTTATGTGGAGATATACAGAATCTAGAAGAGTCAAAACAATTTTGAAACAGAAGAAAGTTGAACTGAGTCTTCCTATAAAGCTAGAGTAATCGATACATATGTTGTTGATATAAGTAGGACATTGATAAGTCTATAAATAACCTCATGAAAACATGGCCAATAAATTGCCTAGAAAAGTGCCAAGGTGAATCTCTGAAAAGAAGTCTTCACGACTAACAGGGCTAAAACAATTGAGTAGCCAAAGACTCAGGTGAAAAGAACCCTACTCCTTCCTTTCCCAGACTGTACAGAAAAGTGACCTCAATCTGATCAGAGATCTACATGAAAAACTAAAACTATAGATATTTTCTGTATGCTTTCTAAAAATTACATACACCTTCTTTGACTCCATCAAGTAACCTTCTTCACAAAAATGTTAAAACTAAAAAACTTTTAGAAGAAAATAGAGCAAGAAATGTTTGCAACTCTGGAATTTCTTGGATCATAAAAACCAAAAGTTATTCAAGAAAAACAATAGGTAAAAATTAAAAGCTTCTGAAAATCAAAAGTCAAAATCAGGAAAATAAAAAGGTAAGCCATAGATAAGAAAAATATCTCAATACATGTATCAGACAGAAGACTTGCACCCAGAATATATGAAGAATGCTTACAATGCAACAATAGACAACTCAATTAAGATAGGCGAATAGGGGCTGGGGATTTAGCTCAGCGGTTCTGGCGCCTGCCTTGCAAGTGCAAGGACCCAAGTTCAATCCCCAGTACCCCCCCAAAAAAAATATCACACCAGGGAAATAATTTCTTGGGCCAGGGATTTAGCTCTGCAGTTCGGTGGCCTGCCTTGCAAGCGCAAAGACCCGAGTTCAATCCCTGGTACCAAAAAAAAAAAAAAAAAAAAAAAAAAAA